CTCATGCACGGCAGGGAGACCCCCCTCCTTTGAAGGCAGCACCCCCTGCCCCCTGCTGTCCTTGCCCAGAAAGCACTTTAAACTCCAGCCTGACGCTGGAAGGGCTTCGGTGGAGAGAGGGGCCGAGCCCGGGTTAGCTGGGTTTTGATTGCAGAACTGGAGTTGATAAAATGTGATAAACTCCAGGCTCACTAGGGCCATGGAAATTAAACAGAGATGCTATCAAAGTCCCCCTGAGTACTCATCGGTGATACAGTAGCTTAGCTCTCTCTCTCAGGCCCGGGTGATATGCGGGCTTTGATTCTGAAACAATGCTTGCGTGGGTTAAGCCAGTGCTGCTGACTCTTCGATTAATCACACTGTTGTGGTGATTCTTTGATCAGCTACAAGGCAGCTGTGGGCACGCCGTCTGTGTGCGGGGGGCCTTGTAGTTAAAGTCGTCTCCTCTGTGATCCTGGCTGACACCATTGGCATGGTGCTGTGGGCCAGAGTCTGTGCCCCAAGCACCGCCGGCCACACGCCGCTGGGCACTGAGCAGAGTGTGACAGACTGCATCCTCCTTCCTGCCAGTCCACACCATACCTGAGAGCAGATGTGACTCCCAGGGACTTTCCCTTCCTTCTCTGGCGTGTGTTCAAAACCATCTTGGGCTGGGCCCTGGTGCCTCATGCCTGCAATCGTAGCTACTCAAGAGGCTGAGATCTGAGGACTGTGGTTCAAAGCCAGCCCAGGCAGGAAAAATCCATGAGACTCTTATCTCTAATTAACCCCCAGAGATCCAGAAGTAGAGCTATGGCCCCAGGAGGTACAACACTAGCCTTGAGCAAAGAAGCTCAGAGTCAGTGCCCAGGTTCTAAATTCAAGGCCCAAGACCAGGGGAGGAAGAAATGACTTGGCTACAGATAGACTCACTGTTGAAGTCTTGGGAAATCTTAGCATGCTCCTGCTAAGCACCAGGTCTACTTTTGGCTTTCCCTGTAGCCACAGCTGGATGGGATCTATATCTAGCTTCCCTTGTCCGTGTTGGCCCTGAAGCTTGCGCTCAGTAATAGAGCCCCTGTGTGCTGTGGATCCTGCACACCCTGGGCCATAGATCAACCTGTTCCCTCCTGTGCCTGGATCTCCCTCATTAGGCCTGAATTTACCTCCATCCTACACAAACATGGCCTTAGCTCATTTTTATTGTTGTAAATTATTTATAAGGGGAATGTTGAATCTTGAAACTGAGGTGCGCAGAAAATTAATCCCAGGTTACTTTTATCTTTCTGTACTTTTCTCTCCCTTGTTTGACTTATTGAGCTATGGCCAGAGAAAGAAGAGCTTTGGCATTTTAAAATATAATTAGTGTTGAAACTGCTTTCTTGATTAGGTTGGATGTTGGTTTCCATATGCAGTATAAGGGAAAGTAGGCCTGACTGGGGAGGTGGGTGCTGCTGTGGGGCGGGGGTGTCTGAGAATTTGGGGAGGTACTTCCTCCCCTGTAAAGCTTGGCTAGCAAGGTCAGGCTACCTCTCAGATGAGGAGGAGTCAGGGGAAAATTTACTTATTTATTTAATTCCATGCTGCTATTAGGGCTTGAACTCAGGGTCTGGGGACTATCCCTTAGCTTTTTTTGCTCTATTACTTGACTCACAGCTCTACTTCCGGCCTTTGGGGTGGTTAATTTGGAGATAAGAGTCTCAGGAACTTTCCTTCCCCAGGCTGGCTTTGAACAATGATCCTCTGCTCTCAGCCTCCTGAGTAGCTAGGATTACCGGCACCCAACTTATGAGAAATGTTTTGAGATTTGCAAAGCATAGCACAAATGCAATGGAAGTATTGTCATGTTTTGTGCAGTTAGGACTCACAGATTCAGGTGGAGCCCAGAAAAGGAGCTGCTGAAATGAAATCAGAGTTCTGTAAGTTGGTCTCGTAATTTTGTGTTTTATCCAGTGTCACCTCCGGTTATGCAGGTTAACATTATTCTTTCAGTATTAGGCTTCCTTGTCCTTTCTCCCTCCCCACTTAGATTTGTCCCACAGGCTCACACTCATGGTCTCTTCTTCCCCATTTGCCTGCAACCCTGGGTCTGCAATGCCTTCCCTCTGGCTTGAGGCTCCAAACAGCCTGGGAAACGTGGAGTGCCAGTTAATAAATGGCCTTTTGTTAGGAAGGTCAATTGAAGTGACGGTAGAGACGCTGTTAAAAGTAATTTGCAGTCAGAAAATATGTAATTCAGGGCAAGCCGCTTTGAGCGATGGCCTCTGCCATGGATATCTTGGGTGTTTCTCATTAAAAGCCTCCTTGGCTGGTGGCGGGGGCTTCCTCCACTGCCGAGTGGGCTGCAGCCATTTGTCTCTTTTTCACAAAGGCTGCCTTGATCCCCAGGGCACAGCAGGCAGGGAAGGAGAGGGGCGGGGGAGATGCACTGGGCTGCGCCGCTGTGCTGGCCTGCATGGGCTGGGCAGGCCGGGCTCTGGCTCCCCAGCACCAACAGCCTGGGCTCTTTGTCTACCTCAGCCTGCAGCCATCTTGGAAGCTGCTGCCTGGCGCCTCCCCAGGTGCATGCTGGGAACAGCATCCTTGCCTTTCCTGCAATTGGTAGTGCCCGGTGGAGCAAGAGAGCCCTGCCATGACATCACTGCAACTCGAGGACTCCACGCTATCTGCAAAATAAGATATTTCTTATGTATGCTTATCTTTCCATCCTTCTCCTGTTCTTTTTTACTTTCCTTAATCCTTCCTCCCTGATTCTTTCACATACTCTCTCTATCTCTCTCTCTGTAGTAAAGGCAGTATAGTATCTTCTAAAAAAAATCAACAACTTATCTCACATGTTCTTTATTAAATTCACAGTGTGATATTTCACACTGGCAGGATTTGCACATTTGTTAATGAGCTGTTCATGGCAAAGCATTTTTGGTGGCCAACAGCAGAAAGTATCCATATTTTGCAAGCCACAGCAATGTTATTTTCTGTGTTATCCCTAATAATCCAGGATATTTCAGGTGCAGAGACGTTTTGTTAAGAGCTTGCTTTGGACCAGGCAGGTGCAGATATTTAACTCTAACTATATACGGGGGCCATGCATGCATCGTCACTCAATAAATATTTCTTTAATGCCTACTGAGTGTGGGCAGCACAGAGCCCTGTGCTTTGCTTTATACAGATAAACCTGGCTGCAAGATGAGATCTGAAAATAGCAAATTTCTGCAGCCATGCCGTGTGCTCCCTACCCCCTGCCCTGGCCCTTCTGTAAGCTTATTTTCGGTAGAAGTAAGTAAATCATAACTTACATTTGCTTTTATCACACACACAAGCTGAGAGGGCAGCTGTGCCAGGCGCTTCCTAGCCTTGATCAGGGACTTGGCTCCGTCTCCATCGCAGTGACAAGTCTGTTTCCGGAGCCCGTGTGGGTTCCGCTGGCTACACAGACCACTTGCATGCAGCCTTTTGATGGCTTCTCTTCAGGAGACTGCACTCATTGTCAGTGGCCTCTCCTTGTTCTGATTCCAGGCTTAGGAGTACCAGTGATTCTACTGCCTGCCTAGGGAGGCAGAGTGTTTGCTTTGTGTGGAAGCAGGGGCCTTCCTGGAGAGGTCTGGCAGGCCTACAGCTGGTGGAGTGTCACTGCTCCAGAGGATGGAATTTAACTTGTTCTTTCCCATGGCTGGACCTGTTAAAAGCACTGTTTCATTTATGGAAGGTGCTCTTGCCTCTTTCATTTGTTTTCTGTTCTCAGCTACTCGGGCTACGCAGGCTTAGAGCTCTCCACATTATACTCATCTTCTCTGGTCCCATCTAGAGCCAGCTAGCAGCAGAGTAAGTAGAGTAACAGTTTCCTTTTACCTCCCATTCACCCAACGTGTCCAGCAAGAATTAATGTCTAACTTTGAGTAAATGCCCACATGATCTGACAGTGAAACTCATCAAAAGGATCTGCTGGTCCTTTAGAGATGGCTCCTTTCTGTTTCTTGCCAGTTATCCTGGGACTGTGTGCCCCATGCCTGCCAGTCTCATCTGCTTTTTGTTGAGGGCCACTGGGTGTCCCTTATTAATGTTGTGTGTTAAGTTTTTGCACGTGCTCTGAGAGCATATTGTGACCCTATGCTAGTGTTGAGAAAATCGAGGTCGCAAGAGATTAAATCTCCTGGTCAGATTCATACTTGGTAGGTCATAGAGCCTAGACTCAAACACCATTCCTTTGCTCAGGGCCCATAATACCTTCTCTGTGATTGCAGACCTCCTTGTCTGCAGAGATTTGCCTGCTGAGAGTTGACTTTTGTGGTGGCAGAGGCTGTGGGTTGAGAAGCCTTTGCCCCCATTGAGAGGGAGGAAGGAAAAGAGAGGGAGAGAGGGAGAAAGAGAGAGAACACAACAAAAGCTGATGTTAGCCATGTACAGGTTAGCCTCAGTGGAGCTATGATTATATGTTCAGAAATCAGGCAGGCTGGTGCCAGTGGCTCATACCTGTAATCCTACCTACTGAGGAGGCTGATATCTGAGGATTGTGGCTGGAAGTCAGCCCAGGCAGGAGACTTTTATCTCCAATTAACCATCAAAAAGCCAGAAAGTGGAGCTGTGGCTAAAGTAGTAGAACATTAATCTTGAGCAGAAAAGCTAAGGGACAATGCTCAGGCTCTGAGTTCAAACCCCAATGCTAGCATACACACACTCATATACAGAAGGATGGAAGGAAGGAAGGGAAGAAGGAAGGAAGGGAGGAAGAAGGAGGGAAGGAAGGAAGGAGGGAAGGAGGGAAGGAGGGAGGGAGAAATCAGGCAGCCTGCTGAAAGAGTTAAGAATGACGTTATTTGAGATTTGAGTGAATGACCTTCGAAGCAGGCACATGGAATTTGGATTCCTGATCTGGGGAAAGGTTCAGAGGAGGCCAGAGATCCTTCAGCTAGCTCAGGCATGTGTTGGCTTAGCTCTGGATGGTTGCCCAAGATTCTTGCTCTCTCCGTTTGAGACACTAAGTTTGAATTGTGTGCTTTCTTTCTTCCCCTTTTGCCGAACCAGAACCAGTCCACCATGCCTGAAGTGAAAGACCTTTCGGAAGCCTTGCCGGAGACATCAATGGACCCTATCACAGGCGTCGGGGTGGTGGCGTCTCGGAACCGAGCCCCGACAGGCTATGATGTAGTAAGTCAAGATACTAGTCGTGCATTTTGTTCCGTGTCCAGGAACCTCTGACTGTTTGTCAACTGTGTTCCTTCCTTCTCCAAGCTGAAACTAAGCATGGGAAGCTGGGGCCCAGTTTGGGGCAGAGGATCTGAGGCCAGCAGGAGCCATTCCTGGCTTTCCCTGTGCCTGTCATTTGACCTCTGTGATGGTTGTTTTCCCCTTCTGTAAAATCAAAGTGATAGCTTTGTTGATTTCCCAGAGAGCTTCATGGCATCCTATTGGTCGTGGTGGTGTGTGGTGGTATATGTGAAATGCAATTGCTCACCAGCTTTCCCACCCAGGAACTCACTTAGCTCTCACCAGGCCTGGGAAGACTGGGAGGGCAATGGCTTTATCGCTACTCTGAAGATTAGAACTTGAGTTCTCAGAGGTGAGGTGACAGGGTCCCGGTCCTCAGTGACCAGTTGGAGGCGATCCTCCTAAGCTGGCTGCTTCGAGGGGTCACAGCACCCCAGTGTAGTGATCTTCCCTGCAGCAGACTTCCATGCTGCATTCAGTAGCCCTGTGGGTAGGGACTTTTGTTGTTGTTTCAGTAGGTAATTTACAATTTGGGCAGAGCTAAACACTTGCAGAGTGACCTGAGAAAGCTTCACAGGAGAGTATAGTTGTATGTTTCAGATTCTCAGGTGATCTTATACATACTTTCTCATTTTGTTTATGATCACATCTTATTGTAGTTCAATGAAAATGTTCACCAAGAATATGTACGAATGGGGGCTGGGAAGGTGGCTCAGTGGTAGAGCGCTTGCCTTGCATGCCTGAGGCCCTGGGTTCGATTCCTCAGCACCACATAAGCAAAAAGAAAAAAGCCAGAAGTGGCACTGTGGCTCAAGTGGTAGAGCGCTAGCCTTGAGCTGAAGAGCTGAGGGACAGCACCCAGGCCCAGAGTTCAGGCCCCACGACTAGACCCCCCCCCCCAAAAAAAAAGAATATATGTAAGAATGGAAGCATGCAGGTCTCATTAGCCAGCACTGGAAGCTGGCACAACTTCCCTGGGGAATGTAGAGGGGCTGGATGCCTGGGCCTAGGCAGAAATTCCCCTTCCCCGCACCATTGACAGCTGGGGTCAGATAATCAGATGATTCTTCGCTGTTGAGCTAATCTGTGCATCATGAGATATTCAGCAGCATATTGTGTGTGTGTGTGTGTGTGTGTGTGTGTAAGAGAGAGAGAGAGAGAGAAATTACTGGGGATAGAGCTCCAGGGCCTAAATGTTATCTCTCAGCTTTTCTGCTCAAGGCTGACATTCTACTGCTTGAACCACACTTCCATTTCCAACATTTTGTGGTTAATCGGAGATAAAGAGTCTCATGGAGGGGTTGGGAAGGTGGCTCAGTGGTAAGAGTCTCATGGACTTTCCTGCCTGGGCTGGCTTTGAACCACAGCTCTCAGCTTCCTGAGTAGCTAGGATGATAGGCTTAGCATTATTCTTGACCTCTACTCAGTGGATGCCAGTGGCAGCTGTTCTGTCCCCTGAAGGTGACAGCCAACAGCATCTCCAGATATCCCCAGGAGGAGGGGTGAGTGGGCAAAATCAGGCCCCATTGAACAGTGGTTAGGGCAGCTCTCTCCTGGGTCTGTCCGCGCTGACTCCTGTGTGTCATTTTCCAAAGTGTTTAAAAGCTGAAAACATTTGAAAACTGAAAGAACACGGAATCTTTTTTTTTTTTTTTGACAAAGAGTTGGATCTTACCTGCTGCCTATCTTCAAAGCCCCATTGGAATGTATAACTTTCCATAAAACAGAATCATTAGTTATGGCTTTGTGCCATGAAACTCTTGGGGAAGCTAATAAAAACGTTCCTGACTTGAGAAGCCAAAGTGTCTTTTGATGAATTAGGTCTGAGGCAGCACATCGTCGTGAATCAAGGCAGGGCTGGGATCTCAGAGTCTGGGGGGATGGAGTCCTGGGTCCTTCTCTTGGGAGGGTCGGAAGGGAGTTCGAGCTCTGCCCCTGGGTCTCGAGTCCTGCCATTCTCCTGCCCATCAGTATCTGCGACATTCAGTTTGTACCTCTGGGGTCATCGTGAGCGCTTGGCTAGTGGGTGGTAAATGGCCTTTGATAGTTTGGTTTTCTGAAAGTCTTAGCAAGCCTGACAGGGGCACAATCCATCCCTATCATTTTCTCCTAACATCTAGCTCAGGGCAGAAGAGCGCAGTGTCAAATGAGTAAAATTAATAAGCACATTTCATGATCATGCTGTACCATGCATTTTAGTGGAAGGTGAGCAGGGCCAGGGCTGGAGCTAGTTTGCCTGGTAATTACCCAGGCTTCAGGGAGAACGATGGGAACTCTCTCTTTGTTCTGGCCCTGTGTCTCTTCTCAGATAAACATCTCATTCCCCAGAGGTCTGGCCCCAAGTACAGTGACCCCTCAGGCCTGAGTGTCAGGCACCAGCTGGGTTGCTGGCCCCACATTGCACAACTGTTTTAAAATAGGTTTAGACATTGCTGGCTGCTCAAAGAGCAAAGATACCAAAGGTTCATTTACAAACACTGAATTTACTTAACTTCCTTTCTCTCCAGCCAAGGGAAGCTTCTTAGGCCAGGGGTGGGGGCTGGAGGGATTATTCAGTAAGCTCAATTTATTGTCCCTGTCTGTGGTCTTAACTTAAATCAGCCTCCTCTTTCTCTTCTGAAGCCCCATGCTCAGATCTCAGCATGGCCAGGACGCCTATTCCTGCTGGCAGAGGTCAGGCAGGGCTTGCAGGCTTTATGATCCCACAGTGTCTGACAGAATGGTTCTGTGTGGCAAGAGCCTGGCATTTGCCAAAGGAAGCACAGGTGTTGCATCACTGGTACGTGGTTGGTTTTTCAAGAATTGTAACATCCCAAGGATGGCCTTGAGCTACAAATCCTCTGCCCAGAATTTAGCTTTGATCTCCAGGTCACTCAGGGGTGCTGCCTTGCTGGGGGGGGGCATCAAACTGGACATCCAGAAGGCCAAGGATCACTGTGGGTGTGTTTCAGTGGCCTGGATCTTACCCTTTGCATACATCCATTCACCTTTTTCAACGTGTGTGTGCATAGCTGCAGTAATGGGAGGTAACTCTGTGCCATCACCACACCTTTGAGTCCACCCACTTTTCCAGATTTCCAAGAGGCTTTCATTCTCTCTCTCTCTCTCTCTCTCTCTCTCTCTCTCTCCCTCTCTCCCTCCCTCCCTCCCTCCCTCCCCCTCTCTCCCCTCTCCCCGCCCCCCCCTCTCAAATATACTCATCCTTTCAAACCCAGTTTTTCTTAGTGGGAGTTTTCCTGAACAATGCTCATTTATTTATTTACTTATGCATCATTACCTGTTGGTTTCGGGGATTTTTATTGACCTTCAACTTTTATGCTCAATGTTCCAGATCCTGGAATGTTGGCTTCCTTAGTGAAAGGTCCAAGGAGGGACGGATGAGGCCCAATCTCAATCCAGCCTTGAGACTATTAAGTGGAGCATGGGGGAGTAAGTAAAGGATTCTGAGGAAAAGGTTCTTAGTTTGTTTTTCAGGTATTTACATACTGTTTAGCAAGGAAATAACTGGACGGTTAGGACGCTGAGGTTGCTGGCCCCACAATGGGCCATTAACTGAAAAAGGGGAAGGAACATGAACATACATTCTTTGGCAGTAAGCAAATTGAGTGCTGGGAGCTGGGTGAGAGGAGAGGAAAGCAAGGATCAGGGTGACACAGAGTTTACCTGGCCAGGCAGCTGAGTGGACACTGATGCTCTCCACTAAGATAGGAGCCCAGGTACATAGGTAGGTGAGGACAGGAAGAAAAGATAGGATCCATTTGGGACATGTTGAGATTGAAGTACACACGTGACATCCAGAGCCTGAGGTCTGAGGGGCTGGAGAGAAGGTTGGAGCTCATTATCAGATGGTGGGGACTGGATACAACCCTACCCACCCACCCTGAGAGAAGGCACAGAACTCAGGCAGAGCCTGTGCCCACTGTGGATGGGCAGAGAAAACCCCCATGCAGGATTGGAGGAAGAGGAAGGAGGTGGCAACTGTGAGAAAAACCAGTCTTTTCTATCAAAGTGTGTTGTTTAAAAGTTCTTGCTTTGGCCTGGTGACTTGGCTCTGGTTAAGGAAAAGAGGAACTGCTTTGGGATAAGGAAGCATTTTTGAAATGTAAGGTTTTTCTTTTCAAGACTGAATTCAGACATGCCCCAGATTATTCAAGAAATAGCAGAGGGTGTGGACATATTTTGAGATCACCTGTATGCTATTAATCTTATTTCAAGGTTACCTTCTGTAAATACATTTTTGCCTTATTCCAACTAGTCAATCACACAAGCAGATTGTGAACATGAACTCAACCAATCTGAGCAGAGGGCAGGGCCTGCTGTGTTAGGGATAAATAGAGGAGCACCTGCCTGTGTGCTGGCTTGCCAGACTTTTGGCTGATGGCGCAGTCTTCTGCAGAAGTAAATTTTGCCTTTCTGAGACAATTCGTTGTTTTCATGTCTGTCATTATGATTCCAATGGTTCTTGGAGGGCATATTTATAACACAATAAGAGGTTGAGCACCGATGCCTTTGTGTTTGTACTGGTACTTGAACTCAGGGCCGAGAGCTCTTGCCTGTCTTTTTCACTCAAGGCTGCTGCTGTGCTGTGTGAACCCCAGTTCCACTTCAAACATGAGTGCCTTTGAGGAAGGGAGACAAGGGAAAGTGGCGGCTAGACATCACGTGACCTTTAGAGTCCTTTCCTCTTTGCTCTTTAAGCAAGTGTTGAGCATGTTTTGCTTATGGGAAGGAACCCACAGTGAGGGGAGGTGGACAGGACACACAGGGGAGATGGAGCCGGGCCAGGTGGGACAGGGGAATAGGGAAGCAGAGTCATGTCAGACAAAACCTAGAGTGTTACATTTAGCTTTTGGTCATGCCCTCTATCATATTGCCTCCCTGGGCAGCGTGGATTTGTTGTCCTGAAAGCCAGCCCTTCCCCTCCCTCCTTTCTTCTTTCT